TGGGCCGGCTGCAGGCCGAGCTGGAGCGCAAGGCTGCGGAGCTGGAGACGGCGAGGCAGGAGAGCGCGCGGCTGGGGCGCGAGAAGGAGGAGCTGGAGGAGCGGGCGTCCGAGCTCTCGCGCCAGGTGGACGTGAGCGTGGAGCTGCTGGCCTCGCTCAAGCAGGACCTGGTGCACAAGGAACAGGAGCTGAGCCGCAAGCAGCAGTGAGTGGCCCGCAGGGCCCTGTGGGTGAATGTGCCCGCCGTTGTTCCTGAGTGGGTGGCTGACTGTGTGTGTCATCGTGCTCCTGGGGCCATCGCGAGTGTGGCTGTGAGTGTGTCTGTGTATGTGGCCATGGCTTATGGGGTCTCTGGCCACGAGCATGTATGGTGGTGCTTGTGGGGCCATGGCAGTGTGACCGTCTGCCTGTCTGTGAAGACTGTTTCTCTTCCTTCTCTAGTGTGCTAGCCAAGGCTAGCTCCTGCATTACGAGGGATCTCCCTGTATGTCTTCATCTGCTCCATCTCAGTCTCTGCTGGCTTCTCCTTATATCTCTGATCTTTAAGTGTAGAATTATGAAATACGTAGATGTTATTCATCTGTCCCTATGATGGCAGGAATTTTTCTCTGCTTTGTTCACTGCTGTGTCCCCAGTACCCAGAAGAGTGCCTGGCACTGAGAAGGTGCTCAGTGTTGAGTGGATGCATGAACAACTGCGCATGTATTTGGGAGGACATACTCTTGTGACTCTTAAGTTGCTGTATGTGCAACTCCTGGAGGGTGGTAGTGCAATTGGAAATATGCTTCTGCATCTGGGGACGTTTCTAAAAATGTGTGTGTGGTGTGGGGGAGGGTAGAGGGGGGTTGAATGTGTTGGTGAGACTGTGACTGTCTCAGACTGTGCGTGCCTGGGAATAAACATGCTATAAGTATGTGTATTTGGTGTGGGGCTATGTATTGGATTTTGTGTACTTGGCTGTGTAACTGTGTGTGCCTGTGAGTGTGTCTGGAGGCAGGAGGTGGCTGTGTGTGACTGAGTATGCCTGTGAGTATTTCCACGAGGAGCAGGGGCATCCATTTGTGTGTTTGGGGCTGGGTGAGTGGGGTATGAATGTGTGACTTGGAGTATATGCTGACATTTCTTTGTGTGCCATTGTGTGGGACAGTGTACCTGGGCCTGTTCTATGTGTACCCATGTGACCCATGAGCAAACACTGTGGGCAGCTGTGCCCATGTCATTCCCTACTGGCCAGGGTGGGTGGGCAGACAGGCCGAGGCACGGGGGTAAGAGACTGCTCCGGGCCCAGGGAGGTGGTGCAGATCGACCAGTTCCTGAAGGAGACTGCGGCACGGGAGGCCAGCGCCAAGCTGCGGCTGCAGCAGTTCATCGAGGAGCTCCTAGAGCGGGCTGACCGCGCCGAAAGGCAGCTGCAGGTCATCAGCAGCAGCTGTGGCAGCACCCCCAGCGCCAGCCTGGGCCGAGGAGCTGGGGGAAGTGGCGCTGGGCCCGCGCCCCGGGGCCCAGGCAGAATGGTGAGTGCCCACCTGCCCTCCCTCCTCCACCTGCACACCCGGCTTCCACAAACTCCCCTCACACGTGGCCTGACATCCCCCTTGTAATGCTCCCTTCTTTGGCTCTTCCCCATGAAAGACTCTAGGCCTGAAGTAGGGGGTCATAGAACAGGGGAACCCCCCTGAAATGGCAGAAGTGAAGGCCCCTGAGGCTATAGTGAGGTGTGATTCAGAGGCCCAAGCCTGCAAATGAGAGCCCAGGAGCCAAAGCTGGGTCTGGGGTGCTGGGTGGGTGTGCAGAGGGGGCTGGTGAGCCTGCCTCTCTGGGCTGTCTGTCTGTCTATTTGTCCATCTTTCCCAACTATTTTCCTTCTTCTCTCTCCTCTTCTCTCCATCTTGCACCCTGTTTTACCTGCTCCTTCTCATCCTCTTGCCTCCTCTGCCCCCCTTCCCTTCCCTCCTGCTCTGGGGGCCCACAGCGAGAACACCACGTGGGCCTGGCCATGCCTAACACATACGCGGTGTCACGGCATGGCTCCTCTCCCAGCACAGGGTAAGCCTCGGGCCCAGCCCACCCCACACAGCCCACCCTCACCCTGGAAAGATCCACTGGCCCACTGGAGGCTGACCACTCCTCTCCCCATCCTCCTTGGGTCACCTCTGTCTGTCTGCCTTTCCACACTCAGAGGGGACTCTTGAAAAGTAGGGTGGTTGGGTTGCCCTTGACTGGTAGGGGTGGGATGGGCAGTTCAGGCAAGCCTGGTGCCCCTCCCTTCTCCTTAACACCTGGTCCACCCCACCCCAGGGCCTCCAGCCGTGTCCCAGCTGCATCTCAGAGCTCAGGCTGCTATGACAGTGACAGTCTGGAGTTGCCCCGGCCAGAAGAGGGGGCTCCGGAGGACAGTAGCCCTGGGGGCTTGGGCACACGGGCCCAGGCTGCCAATGGTGGCTCAGAGCGGGCTCAGGCTCCTCGAAGTTCAGGCCTGCGGCGCCAGGCCATTCAGAACTGGCAGCGTAGACCCCGCCGACACAGCACGGAGGGGGAGGAGGGGGACATTTCGGATGTGGGCTCCCGAACCACCGAGTCAGAGGCTGAGGGCCCCTCCGACGTCCCCCACCCTGGGCCTGCTATGGCTGGGCCATTAAGCAGCTGCCGGCTCTCAGGTGAGTCCTAGGAGGATGGGCAGAGAGGCCAGACTTTCCCACGGTGCAGCCCTGTCGGAGAGCATAGGGCTGAGGCAGTACATCTCCTGGGCTTCTGCACCTCCTTTCCCCTTGCCCCAGACTTCCCACAGTAAGAATGACAAATTCCCACACTGTGCCCTGCAAGCCTGGGAAAGGAACTTGTGTGACAAGGCAGTGCTGCAGCACAGGGCACTCAGGTTGGGTGTTGCACAAGGATGCCACATCTAAGGGGGTCCATTTATGTGGTGGGCTCATTGACATTTACAGGAGAGTAGCTGAGTTCACTCCAGACTCTGAGGCCCCTGGAGCAGTTGGGAGGCTCCTTCCCATATACAAAAGGCCATGCACATATGTCGATGGGTCAGGGTCAAGAGGTGAGAGGGTTCTGGTCAGGGTGTAATGCTGCCCCCCTGTGACTGCTTTGGGCAGCCTCTCACCTGCCTTCTGATCCCTAGTTCTCCAAACCCTTTCCTTCTCCAAATTTGACTCCATTGCCTCATCTAGGGAGTGTGTTCAGACTATGTGATGATAGACTATCTTAAAAATAATTAACTTGAGGAAAGGCTACTTTTTTCTGATCTGCAAAATTAGGGATAGGGATGACACAGAGAAGGGGGAGCAGAGGTCTCTGTCCTCCCTCCCAAGGCGCTGCTCCCCCAGCATGTCTCTCATGCCCATTCCTCCTACAGCCCCTACCCTTCCCTAGCTCCCCACCCACGTCCCCTGCTGGCCTTTGACCCTCCGCACTCACCCTTGACCCTTTGGTATTGTACAGCCCGCTCTGAGGGAGGCAGTGGGCGGGGCCGACGAGCAGAGAGGGGCAGCCCCTCACGTTCCAATGAGGTCATCAGCCCCGAGATCCTCAAGATGCGAGCCGCCCTGTTCTGCATCTTCACCTACTTGGACACGCGCACACTCCTTCACGCTGCCGAGGTCTGTCGTGACTGGCGCTTTGTGGCCCGCCACCCGGCCGTCTGGACACGAGTGCTGCTCGAGAATGCCCGAGTCTGTTCCAAGGTGCCTGTATCTGCCTGCTGCCCCTGCCCTCTCACTCATCATGCCCTTCTCCAGCCTCTGGCTCCTCCAGGTCTGGTCCTGGCAACCCTTACAAGACCCCACTCTTGCCTGGCTCCCCAAAATGCTCTCATGGGGCTTCCTTTCCTGGAGCTGGTCCGCCTCCAGACAGCCTAGCTCAGACCCCTCATCCCCAGGTAACCCCTCTGTCCCTGCAGTTCCTGGCAATGCTGGCTCAGTGGTGCACCCAGGCCCACTCGCTGACACTGCAGAACCTGAAGCCTCGGCAGCGGGGCAAGAAGGAGAGCAAGGAGGAGTATGCCCGGAGCACCCGGTGAGGCCGTGGTGGGTGGGCGGGTGCTGCTGGGTGGGGATGCTTTCTGGAGCAGGAGGTGGCCACAAGCCACTCCCTGACCTCTCGGCCATCCCCAGTGGCTGCCTAGAGGCAGGGCTGGAGTCCCTGCTGAAGGCAGCAGGGGGCAACCTGCTGATCCTGCGCATCTCCCACTGTCCCAACATCCTCACCGACCGTTCGCTCTGGCTGGCCAGTTGCTACTGCCGTGCCCTGCAGGCCGTCACCTACAGGTGGGTCCACCCCACCAGATGCAACCCCAAGAGGGTTTGCCTTGGGCCCAAGGGATCCCTGGGCTCTGCTCTGTGTACCCTTCCCCCAGGGCTCTCAGGCAAAGGGACCCAAGAGCTCTGTGGCCCCAGAGGAGGGAGCAGAGGCCACCAGGGTAGGTGGCCCCAGCTTTGTCTTTTCAACAGGAGCGCCACAGATCCCGTTGGCCATGAGGTCATTTGGGCCCTGGGCGCGGGCTGCAGAGAGATTGTCTCCCTCCAGGTGGCACCACTTCACCCCTGGTGAGCCCTGGCAGGGGTGAGGAGGGGACAGAGTTGGGTGGAGTCTGGGGCTGAGGACTGAGCAGGTCTGGGCCCACTCCATCAGCTGGTTGGGGAGACAGATTCACATTCATTGGTCTGTGTGTTGAGATGTTAGGAGCAAGGCTTCAGATCAGACCTGGGGTCATGTCCTGGCTTCCTAGCAGTGTGACTTGGGGCAACCCAATCGTGCCTCACTTTGTCAGCCTGCAAAGTGAAGGTGATATCAGGGATCTGTTGACCTTATTGGGACTGTTGCTGGCTCAAATGGGATGTGTCCTTAAAGCCTGCAGGGCCCATGGTGAGTAGTGAGTAAACACTAGCTAGAGTAGGTAGGTTGGTTCGGCATGTGAAAGTTCAGGGCAGTCAGTGTATAACATACAAAAGAGCTGGTTGTTGGAGAGTCCAGGGTGTGAGGTCACTCATCGTTCTCCTTGGAGCTCCTCAAACATGTCAGGCTTTTCTGCTCCCTGCACCTTGCCCTCCAAGCCCTCTCTTCACGTGATAACTCCTCCCAGGTCCTCCAGTGTCCCTTCACTAACAACCTGGTAGAATTTGTCACTGCTCTTCTGCCTCATTCCTGTTGCACCTTGTCTGGACCCCTGCTGTAGTCTGTTTTGCAAGTTCCTCTATATTTTAGTCTCCACAAGACTTACGGTTCTCAGGGCAGAGACTGAGATGTCTGTTTCCATATCCGTGGTAACAAGCACGCGACAGACACCAGAGCAATGCCTGTGGCCTGGACTAGTATTGAGGGATGAAGTGTTCAGGGAAACAGCAAGTTCGGTGTGAGTGGTGGGCAGAGCTGAGCAGTGAGCATAGAAAGGCAGGTTGGGGCAAGGTCAGGAAGGCCTTACCTAAGGGGCTTAGAGTTTTGCATTTTTATCTAGAAAGTGCTGGGAAGCGATTGGGGGATTTAGATCTTAAAAAACGGGATTACATCAGACTGGTAACATTCTTTGTCCCTGCTCTGCTTTCACCCCACTGTCTACTCCTCCAGGGCAGGGACCATGTCTCTATTGTCACTACTGTATCCCCAGGGCCTAGCTCAGTAGTCTTGGCTGTAGTAGACAATTAGAACCATTTGTTGAATGACTGAGAGAATGTAGGAATGACTGGCTCACCCTCAGCAACTTGGAGGATGAATTGGCAGGAAGTCTAGTTATAATCCAGATGAATATTGACTGTGGTCTGAACTGTAGGATGAAGACTTATTCAGGAATCAGAATCCGTGGGTCTTGGCAGGAGGTGAGGGAGGAGGAGTCAGGGATGATCCCACGTTTCTGACTTTAGCAGCTGGGGTGGTTCGTTGGGCACTTGCCCAAGGGGGAGCCCAAAGGAGGAGCAGGCATGGGGTGTCATACAACCAGAGGCTTTCCTGATGGCCCTCCCTTCCTCCCATTCTCCAGCCAGCAGCCCACACGCTTCAGTAATCGCTGCCTGCAGATGATCGGTCGCTGTTGGCCCCACCTCAGGGCCCTGGGGGTTGGGGGCGCTGGCTGTGGGGTGCAGGGCCTGGCATCGCTTGGTGAGTCTTTCCATGGGACTGGGGTGGGGGTTAGTGGGAAGCACTGAAATCTCAGAGGAGCTCTAGGCTGCAGCCTGGGTGGGCAGGAGGTGACCTGGGAAGTTTATCAGCAGGACCTCCCCCTTCCTCTTCCTCTTCCTAGCAAGAAACTGCATGCGACTGCAGGTCCTGGAGCTGGACCACGTCTCGGAGATTACCCAGGAGGTGGCAGCTGAGGTCTGCCGGGAAGGCCTGAAAGGACTGGAGATGCTGGTGCTCACAGCCACCCCTGTCACCCCCAAGGCCCTGCTGCATTTCAACAGTGAGCGATGGGGAACGCGGGATGGGGTACAAGTATCACCTCTTACCATGCCTTGTAGTATAACCAGCTCCCTGTCACTCCTAGTCAGCAAGCACCAGTGCTGGGGTTAGACTGACCAGGCTTCTAGTCCTGGCTTTGCCACCCTTCTGAGGCTAGTGTGGCATTCAAGGCCTTCGAGCCTCTGTTCTAAATAGTTCAGTTCAACATACATCTATTGCCCTGTGCTCTACCCACGTTGGAGACAGGAGCTATGCAACACCACCTGCCCCCATGTGAGCCTCCAGCCAAGGGCAGAGGGAGGAGAACAGGTGAGTTTTGGAGCATAGGTTCTGGAGCTTTACTGACCTGGGTCTCAATTCTGACTCTACTGCTTATTAGCTATATGACTTTGGGCAAGTTACTATACTTCTCTGAGTTCTGTATCCCATCTTCTAAGCTGATTTCTAGAATGAATGCGAGGATTAAATGAGATGATGTGTGTGGGCCCCCAAGCACAGTTCTCAGAGGGAGGACTCTTCTCTCCCTGGTATAGACTCCAGTTCATGCCTCCTCTGGCCCCACCTCCCTCCAGCCATCCCCTCCATCTCCGGTCATTCCTCCACCTTCATAGAGGACATGGGTGCCCAGCTTGGGCTGCTCACACCCATAAAGTAAGACCATCATCCAAGCCCATTTGACCCTTACCAGGACCCCGTGTCCTGAGTGCTGAAGGTTCTTTGACCTTATTTCCAAGATCCTCTCCCCTCCCCTTCAGCATCATGGCCTTGCCTTGGACTGACCACCAGAACTAACTGCTCAGCCTTCAAAATCATGACCTTCAGGACCCTCTCAGCCTCCTGACCTTGCTCTTCCTCTCCCGGCTTCATGGCAACATCCAGTCCCTTAAGCCCTCTGCTCCCAACTTGTTTGCTCCCTGTCTCCCCTCCTCCATGCTCCAGGTGAGACCCATCAGCCTCACCTCAGCTGCTGTTTTTGTAATTTATTTCCGAATCCCCAGACCATAACACAGCTGTCCCCTCTGCCAGGGCAGTTCCCAAAGCTCCTGCACAGCTGTTGCCCACTCATCCTCCCAGGGTCCACAGCAGCCTCTGCTCTTTGACATCAGCTTTCACGTCCCATTGTCCTGTTGAGCCCCTGGGCAGCATGGGTCTGCTCTCCTGATTCTGTTCCCAGTGCTTGGCATTTTATTGTCTCTCAGTAAGTTCTGATTTCATTAGTGACAGGAGAGGAGGCAGCCCATTGCCCAGGCCAAACACAGGCCCCCACCTTACCCACCTTTTCCCAGGTATTTGCCGGAACCTCAAGTCCATTGTGGTCCAGATTGGGATTGCCGATTATTTCAAAGAGCCCAGCAGTCCTGAAGCCCAGAAGCTGTTTGAAGACATGGTGACAAAACTCCAGGTGAGGAATTGGCTCTGAGGTCACCCAAGACCCCATGACCCTAGGCTGGGGCTAGGGACTTGGGTGTGTGATGTGAAGGCCTCACTTGTGTGATCCTGAGGATTTCACCCTTAGAACTAATCCAGGTTTGGTCTGCAGGCTCTGCGACGGAGGCCCGGCTTCTCTAAGATCCTGCACATCAAGGTGGAAGGCGGCTGCTAACCCGGGTGAGGGGCGGCAGGGCCCCTGCCAGCCCCACCCAGGGCACTCTCTTTGGACCTCCAGAGGGACCCTGATTTGGACTAGACCTTCAGAGGCCTGGTGTTATCTCTGGCTTCCAGGGAGGGGTTTACAGTTTCCTGTTCTCCTGGGACGGCAGAACTACAGGCCTGACCCTGGGAACTGCCTCTCTAGGGCAGGGGCTCGGACAGAAGCTACCCCCGGCCCCCACCCAATCTCCAGCTGAAGTCACCTTCTGGGCATAGCCAGCGAGGAGCTGTCACCACCAGCACCTGGTGTCTTCACCCCGAGGGTCTGCAATAACCACCCAGTGGCCCTTGGCTGCTCAGGCTGCTTGGGCAGACCTCTCATTCTTGAGACCCAGTCTCCCAGCCAGGGTCCTCTGCTAGGCCCCAGGCCAGAGGGGCCCCTCAAGGCAGCTCAGACTTGGTAAGGAGGGCTCTTCTCCCTGCCCTGCTTGGTTCCAGCCGTCTGTGGGGCACCCCTTCACACAGCCCACCTGGGCTTTGGGTCCACATTCTCTAAGGATAACACACAGGCCTAGGGATCTGGGCAAGTGGTCAGCCAAAGGG